ATATACATCTAAATAAAATTTAAAATAAATAAATACACATTTCTAGAACATTCACTTTAGAATATTCAAGATTATACTTCTGCATTATGATTGGTTCATTTGTTGACCAATAGTAAAATGAAAATTCTAGAATCTCCTTGGATTGGTAAAAATCTAGAAGGTTCCTTGTTTCACTATATAAGCTCCACGTGCCGCACGCTTCCTGCATATTGCCCTTCCTCGTTTCTTCCTCGTGAGTGCCGCTCTTCAATTTTTCCCCTTTTACATTTTACCTTTGACTAAATCTTTTTGCTTTTCAGTTCAACATGCCAGAACAAATGGAGTCTGAACACTCTGACATCGAGACCTTCGCCTTTCAGGCGGAGATAGCTCAACTTATGTCTCTGATCATCAACACATTCTATTCCAACAAAGAAATATTTATACGCGAACTTATTTCTAACTGCAGTGATGCGCTTGACAAGATCCGGTACAAGAGTCTGACCGACCCCTCCGTTCTCGATAACGATTCTAATCTTGAGATCAAGGTCATACCTGACAAGGATGCCAAGACATTTACAATAATCGACACAGGCATTGGAATGACAAAGTCGGACCTAATCAATAACCTCGGCACGATCGCGAGGTCGGGGACCAAAGCATTTATGGAGGCCCTACAAGCTGGTGCCGATATCTCGATGATCGGGCAGTTCGGCGTTGGCTTTTACTCGGCGTACTTGATCGCTGACAAAGTCGAGGTCATCTCCAAGCATAACGACGATGAGCAGTACATTTGGGAGTCGTCTGCTGGCGGGTCTTTTACCATTCGGACCGATCCCGGTCCGCCCCTTGGGCGCGGTACCAAGATTATCCTCCATATTAAGGAGGACCAACTTGAATACCTAGAGGATCGACGCATTAGAGAAGTTATTAAAAAACACTCTCAGTTCATCGGGTATCCCATAAAGTTGCTCGTGGAGAAGGAGAGACTAAAGGATGTTTCGGATGACGAGGCGGAAGAGAAGAAGGATGAAGATAAGGTTGACGAGGAAAAGCCCAAGGTAGAAGACCTTGATGAGGACGATTCTCACTCAGACGGTGAGGGGGATGCGAAGAAACCAGGTACCAAGAAGAAGAAGCAGATCAAAGAGAAGTACACCGATGAGGAAGAGCTGAATAAGACCAAGCCCTTATGGACCCGCAATGCAGAGGATATCAGTCAGGAGGAGTACGCGGAGTTCTACAAGTCACTTAGTAATGACTGGGAGGACCATCTAGCCGTTAAGCATTTCTTCGTCGAGGGTCAACTTGAGTTCCGCGCCTTGCTCTTTGTCCCCAAGCGTGCGCCCTTCGACCTTTTCGAAAATCGGAAGAAGAGAAACAACATTAAGCTCTACGTGCGAAGGGTGTTCATCATGGATAACTGTGAAGACCTAATTCCTGAATACCTCAACTTTATCCGTGGCGTCGTTGACAGTGAGGATCTTCCACTCAACATCAGCCGTGAAATGTTGCAGCAGAACAAGATATTAAAGGTTATCCGAAAGAATTTGGTCAAAAAGTGCATTGAATTGTTCGAAGAAATAGCCGAGGATCACGAAAACTACAAGAAGTTTTACGAGCAATTTAGCAAGAACATAAAGCTCGGGATCC